GAGGTGGTGACATCCTTTGTAAGATCATGTCCTGAGTTCTTCTACGGTGACAGCCCCCCAGACAGAGCAATGAAGCCACAGAAGCCAGCCTGGATCTGCCAGACCTTAAACAATCAGCGTTTCTTTGCAACCTTGTACGACCTAAAGAACCGTATTCCCATGTACTCTGCTTATAAATACGAGCCTGGAAGGGTCACCACAAACCACACATGGACAGTTGAGCCCCAGGTGAGTGTCCTCTCTTACAGCATTTCACTCTGCAGACATTGAAAGATGAACTGCAGTATCCAAACATCTCTATTTCCTCTCACCCCCATACACACACCTGCAAATGGACCCACTGGGTGGGATTCATCTCATCTCACTTCAAACACCCGCACCACATGATTCCTCTGATGCATTTCAAACAGCAGCAGCAGCAGGAGTCCTATCCCAAAGGTGCCCAGTTTTCTGCATTGACCTGAGAGCAACATCAAGGCAAATTCCATTCCATTCCATTCCAAAGTCAAATAACCTCCCTCTCTGTGCCCTGCTGTGGTGGGAGACCAAGTGAAGGGGAAAAGGCATCCAACAGCAGCTAAATTTGAGGGACCAACAGTCCTGCTGGATTCTGATCTCTGCTTTGTCTTGAGCTGTTTTGCATCCCTGACAGAGCTTAATTTCTCCCAGTTAAGACTCCATTTGTCTTTGTAAGTGACCTAAGTGAGGAGAACCTCAGAATTGGGTGGGATGGCCCAGGGAAAAAGCCTTGGCACAGGCACTGAGTGGTGAGAGGGTTTGGTGAAGCCTGGGGAATTTATTGAGTGATATTTCAGGCAGTGAAAAGGGAGGAGCATCAGTGTCAGTGCAGTCAGAAGGGGGTGATCTCCAGCCATGGCCAGTTGCCCCTGAGCACCGTTGCCTCAGGCCTGGTTCAGAAGGATCCACCAGACACTCAGATCTCCACAAAAAACAGAGTTCTCCCAAATGTCCTTCAGAGCTCCAGTAAAAAAGACCAAGGAAATTATGGAACAGAAAGAGAGGAAGTTCAGGTCATTGCAAAGGACAGAGTAGCAGGATGGAATTTAGGTGTTCATGAGTGACAGAAGAAAGCCATATGCCCTGTTCCAGAGGGAGAAGAAATAGGTTTTTCCAAAGATGAACAGAAAGGTGTTGGGGTTCTAAAAAGAAAACCATTTGCACTTTGTACTCATTAGAACTCAAACAACTAATATGGCATTGCACCACTGCAGTCTCCACATTTAGGGCAGAGATAAAGCTTCTCTCGTTTTGTAGAATCATACACTCATAGAGGGGTTTGTGTTGGAAAGAACATCAAAGATCATCTCAATTCAATGCCCCTGCCATGGGAAGGGCCACCTCCCACTAGACCTGGTTGCTTAGAGCCCCATCCAACCCGACCCTTTTCCTCCTGGACCACGGAGCCAGGCCTCCTGCAAACTCTTTGATTTTGGTAACTTTCTCCAGAGGTCCTTTTTCAGTACTTGGATTCCTCAAGACTCTTTGGGGATTATGAGCTCTTGAAGAGGTTGATAATTTCTAACTTCTTTTCAGTGAGGCTGCAGAAGATGCTTCCTGTCCCAGATCAGCTCTGAGACACATTATTAGGACTGCAGTAGCAGATCCCATTTGCATTGAGGTCTTTTTGATTAATGAACAAAAAAACTTTCATCCTTGCAGTGAACTGTAGCCCCCCTGGGAAACCTCACCTCTAGCACTGGTTTCTTTCCTTGTGTCTAGGGTTACAGGAGGCAAACCCTGGTGTTCTAGGAGTGTGGTTCACCTGTAGCAACCACACATGGAATCAGAGAATGACAGAATGGGGGTGGGAGGATCTGGGGTAGAAGTGGGTTTGGAGACAGGCTGAAAGGGAACCAGCTGTGTCAGGGAAGGTTTCTCACCAAAGACCTTTCTCCTTTCCAAGCCAGAGTGGAAAATGCTCAGTATCTCATGTAGCCAGCCACACTCCCAGCACAGGCTGCAGGCTGGATCGCAAAGGTCACAAGTCAAATGGAGAGCAGTCACATTCTGAGCTTCTTTTGTCTTAAAAACTCTTGTGTTCATCCAGGAGGGGCAGCTATATTTTTCTCTCACATTCATATATTTACATAGACTAAGATGAAAAAAAATATGTGTTCTTGACACCTAGAGACTTCTGCTCCAGGGAAACCTGCTCCAGTACTCCTATCCTCAAAAGTAACACTTTTTCTTCTTCTTTACCTCTCAAGCTGATACGTTTAAATTTGTCGAAAAACATGCAAACAGTGCAGACCCTCGAACATCAATACAACATCAGCAAAACACGAATCAGGCAAAGCCAGGCTGTCAACACAGACTATGAGCACAGTGGTTGGGACCGTGGCCATTTGAACCCCAATGGCCACCACAACTCCACGGACAGCAGGAATGCCACCTTCACCCTCACCAACATAGTGCCCTTGAACGAAAAACTCAACCGAGGTGCCTGGAAAAAGTACGAGCAGCAAACAATGCCCAAGAATGCCAAGAACTGTCAAACTGGCAAAACCTATGTCATTGTGGGGGCTGTGCCTGGGACCTCCTACATCTCCGGTGGGAGGGTTAATATACCCAGCCACATCTGGTCCGCTGGCTGCTGCAGGACCAAGTACAACAATGTGACTGCTTGGGCAGTCATTGCCAACAACAATCAGAACAGGGTCTGGATACACACCCTGGGGCACCTGGAGGACAGGTTGACCCAGCTGTATAAAGTGAAAAAGGTTCGTCTCTTCCACAGGTCCTGTCCCCGTAAATAAGCCTCACATCCCGGGTGTAAAAGGCTCGAGGGTTTTTCCCACAGATCACAGAATCACAGAATGCTTTGAGTTGGAATGGATCTCAGGGATCATCCAGTTCCAAACCCCACTGCAATATAGCAGGGACACTTTCCACTAGACCAGGTTGCTCAGAGCCATGTCCAACCTGGCCTTGAACACTTCCAGGGATGAGGCAGACACAGCTTCTCTGGGCAGCCTGTATCAGTGTCTCACCACTCTCAAAGGGAAGAATGTCTTTCTGATACACAGCCTGACCCTGCCCTCTGTCACTTTAAAACCCCCTTCTCCTGCCACTTTATGTTCTTGTTCAAAGTCCCTCTCCAACTGTCCTGGAGACCCTTCAGGTACTGGAATGGCATCTAAATTCTCCTCAGAGCCTTCTCCAGCTGAACACCCCCAGCTCTCTCACCCTGTCTCCAGAGCAGAGGTGATCCAGCTCTCAGAGTACCTTCATGGCCTCCTCTGGATTCCACCCCAACAGGTTTGTGTCCTTCTCATGTTGTGGGCCCAGGGCTGGAGGCAGCACTGCAGGTGGGGTCTCAGGAGAGCAGAGGAGAGGGGGACAAATGTCTTGTGCAGTGTCCATCCTGCTCCCTTCTCTGGTGGGTTTCCAGCTCTGTCCCTCAGGGCAACTCCTCTTCCTGCTCTGCTAAAAGCGAGAAAGAAGTGGGCAGAGCCTCCAGCTGGTTTGCTTTGCTGCCCATGCTGGCAGAGAGCTCTTAGGGATGAGTCTGGAGGGAACAGCTGGAAAAGAGCCAAGAAAATCAGAGGTTCTCAGTGAGACCAGACGGGCTTTGCCTTGTTTCCCTTTTGCTCCATGCCCAGATACAGGTCTTAGTTCCTTCCTCTCCTCATTAGCTGTCCCTGAGAGTGTGCTGCTGACTTGTCCCTCACCTTCTTAGGAAGGCTGTGGGATGACGGTGGCTCAGGTTGCCCACAGGTGTTGTGGAGTCTCCATTGCTGGAGAGGCTCTAGCTGAGCCTGCTTGACCAGGGGTCTGGACCAGGAGATCTTGGGAGGTCCCTCCAAACCTCAACAATGCAGTGATTCTGTGATCCTGGGA